ACCTTAGAAACCCCGAACAGGTGATGTGGAAACTTTTATTTTGTAGGAAAAGTTTTTTTCTCCAAAATATTATGGGGAATTTTAATATGTAAATTTAAAAAAACTTTATGATTATAAAAGTATTATTTAAATTTATTACATTTGTCAATTCAGTGGACTAGTCAATAACTTAGTATGGTAGTTCAGATGCTCTCTGGGGACTTAAAATTTGGTCAAAGATACATTTAAGTGAATAACAATCTTTTTAGATTTAAAAATAACTCTAAATACATTTTCAAAATGAAATTTAAGTGAGGTGTTTGTGAACTCCCAACATCCTAAGGTGCCTATGAACTCAGTTTGAAAATCGCTCAAAGAATAAAAATGAACTAGCCATCTACCCAAGGAGCTGGAAAAGTAAATTCAAACAAAAGCATAAGGGGGAAATGAAATAAAACCCCTTATCTAGATTGACTCATTTTTAAATAGTGAAGCAATTAATATAGAATTATATACCAGATAGTATAGATTCTGGGTAGTTAAGACTAGACAGATTTTAGCTCCATTCTCTTTTAGAACAAATAAATTAAAAAAAAAGAAAGAAAAGAAAAAAAACAACAATGAAAAACAATGAAACCCCCACTATATCCTGGTGGTGCTTGTTCCCCCAAAGTCAAAGCTTGTCATCCATGGGCTTCTCTGATCCTTAGAAAGCTGTCACTGTGGAGCTGAACTCTGTCCCTTGTCCTTCCCTCCATTGTTCTGTGCTCTCCCCTTGGGGCCCTGAGGACATGTCTACTCTCTTGTCTGCATGACAGACCCTCAGATATTTGCAGTGGGGACTGTTTACCCTCAAGTCTGCTCTTCTTTGGCAAAACAGCCCCAGTTCCTTCAATTGTTCTTCCTTGGACAATGTAGCTTCTGCGTCCCTTTGGCATCTTCGTCTTATTTGTGTGACAGTATTTCATGGCCCAGGTTTGTCTGGCAGAAATAGGGCAGAGCTCTACCATACTCATTCCTCATGCAGTTCCTAGATTTCCCTCAGTACAGGGTAATGTGGAATTAGCATTTGGGGGCAGCTATCTCAGTGATGAGTCATGCTAATTGATTATTGACTAAAATCAACTTGTGTCCGCTTGAGTTGCCTTGTTTTTCCTTTTTGTAGTTGATTATTTTGGGACCATGTGAATATCAAGCTAGAGAGTGGAGATTATAATTTTTCTTATATTCAACACAGTACACTTCCCACTGTGATCTGCTGCTTAAACTCCCAGATATATGTTTTCAATTTCTAGGAGTTCTATGTTTTCATGGATTCTGTAAGTGATTTGAAAAGAAAGAAAGCTAGGAGTTTTCAAAAGCCTGCCCCTGGTCTTGAGAGGAATCTGGAGTCGTTTACTAACCTCTGTTGTGAATTGTTTTTTTTTTTTTTTTTTTACTTGATTCGTCTGTGTTACAGAAACAAAGCCTGATTCTAAAGTGGTGAATCATCTCATCCAGTAAAGACTTTTTGATTTGTGCGTTTATATTTTTTGAACTGCTGAGTCTAATTCAGAAGTTTGGATAAGGGATCGTTTTCATAAATATTAACACATATATTTAATTTATGGCAATGGTTCCTTTTTTAAAAAATATTGTTTTTTAGCTGTAGATGGACACAATACTTTTATTTTATTTGTTTACTTTTCTGTGGTGCCGTAGATTGAACCCAATGCCTCATGCATGCTAGGCAAGTGGCCTGCAACTAAGCCAAAACCCTGGCCTGGCAATGGTTTCTTTTAATAAGTGATTTTAATTGTCTAATACAGGATTGTTTTTATCTTTCTACACCTTTTGTCTACTTGTTCTACCATGTTAAAAGTCTTCCACTGTAATCATGGTTTTGTCTATTTTTATATTTATTATGTACTTTAAGCATTTGAAGCTATGTTATTAGACGCATATAGATTTAAAATATTATGACAACGTGTTCAACTGACTCTCTTTCACTAGTAACATGTCTTGCTTCAATATCTACTTTGATATTATACCAAAATTGGTTAGTATCTCATGGAATTTTTTCTTTTAAGCTTTCTGTATTATTTTTAAAATGTGTCTCTTGAAAGCAGCATATAGATATAGTCATTATTTTTGGATTAAAAAATTCATACTGTCAGTCTTGATGTTCAATTTGAGCAACTGGTCCATTTACATTTAATATATCTGCTGCTGTGGTTGGATTCATGTAACTATTTGCTCTATTTGGTATACACTTTTTATGTTGTTTCTCTTGTTTTGTCTTCTTTTTGATTAATCATCTGTTTTCTATTTCATCTTCCCCTCTATTACTTTTAGTTTTATATATATATATATTTTTGGGTGGGGGGGTCCAGGGATTAAACTCGGGCACTTGGCCACTGAACCACATCCCAGCCCTATTTTGTTTAGAGACAGGATCTCACTGAGTTGCTTAGCACCTTACTGTGGCTGCCCCTGGCTTTGAACTCGCCATCCTCCTGCCTCAGTCTCCAGAGCTGCTGGGATTACAGGCATGTGCCACTGTGCCTGGCTAGTTATATTTTCTTTTACTATTCTTGTATTTGTCATTTGCAAGTATTGGATATTTGATACATTACAATTATAATAAAAGTTATTAGTTTCAACACTTTCCCACACTTTAATTCCATCTACCTTTTACAATATTGTTGTCTAACATTAAAATACAAATATTTTAAACTCCATGACATTGTTTTGCAAAACACTATATTATATATTTTAAAATATATTATTGTGTAAATTATAATTTTATACATTTAATATTAATAATATTTACTCATATATTACCCATATTATTTATTTATTTATCTATCTATTTATTTATTTATTTATTTTTATGTGGTTCTGAGGATAGAACCCAGGCCCTTGCACATGTGGGGCAAGGGCTCTACCACTGAGCCACAATCCCAGCCCCACATATTACCCATATTACTGCCCCACATTCCGTCCTGCACATCAATGTTTCTGTTGAGAGTATTTTATTTCTGCTTGATTAATTTCCTTTAGTATTTCTTTATATACTGGTTTACAGGTGATGAGTCCCTGAAGTATTTGCCTTAAAAATTTAAATTCCACCTTCATTTAAAAAGCATAATTTTTTAGATGTGGAATTTTAGTGTGTTGATTATTTTTTTCCATTGCTTTGAAGATACTAGTCCATTATCTTCTATTCTCTAAGTGCTTCTCCTCTTTCTGGAATTTTATTGCTTTTGTCTTCATTGTTTTCATAGAAGTTTGGATGCTTTTAAGAACACTTTTGGGGCTGGGGTTGTGGCTCAGTGGTAGAGCACTTGCCTAGCATGTGTGAGGCCCTGGGTTTGATCCTCAGCACCACATAAAAATAAATAAACCAAATAAAGGTATTGTGCCCAACTAAAACTAAAAAATAAATGTTAAAAAAGAGAACACTTTTATCTGTTTTTTTTTCCTTCCTCAGTTGTTATCAGCAGGAATACTGGTCTACTATGGTCTGGTCATCGTATCTGGAAATGGAAGACATTTGTACCCCAAACACAATTTCTGAAGAAATGTCTTATAAGTCTTTTAAGCCATTTTAGTTAACCTCATCTTAAAAAATGATATTTGGATATTTCCCCCCAGAATTTAACTAATTAATATTCACATGAATTTTATTGGGTGATAAATTTGAGTAATCTTTCTATTTTACACTATGTAAAAGTGAGACTCTTTTAAACCTGCTCTAATTTGGTGGTTCTTAATTTTTTTTGAATCATATGCTTTTTTTATACCCTTCTAAGGATTTTTGATTAACAGATTGATTCCCAAATTAATGCCTCTAATGGCTGCATATGTCTTTGGAGGAATTAGGGAACATTTATCCATCTCTCCCACTCCCATACCTACCCATGGTTTTCATGATGTGAACCCTGGTGAATTTCAAGATGATAAATTCTTTATTAAGTATATAAAACAAATACTGAATTAAATGTAAAAGTGCAGGTGAGTCACTAAACATTCAGTTTTTGCTGTTTGTGCTGTAACCTGATGGGGATAAAAGCTTGTTGGTTTTGCACAGGAAGATAGAAGTTAAATTTCTGGTTTTCCTGCTTACTAAAGACTTGATATTTTTAGTGTTCTCCTTTAGAAATGAGGATAAAAATATTACCCTCCCAGGTATTATTATGGATTAAGATGAGAAAATACACAAGGAAGTACTTTATAAATTGTGAAGTCCTATACATATAAAAGATAATGTTTGTGTATAGATATGTATATATCTAGATCTGTATAAATAATCTTTGCATTTCCGTACTTTATTTTAAAGAAGTCCTTTAGTTAAATAAAGTGATTTGGAATAAAATACTTTGTGCTCACAGTAATTTCTTTGACACCACCCACAGACAGTGTGCAGAGAAACTGTGAAGGGAAGAAGCTGACTGGGAGGTTGAGCAGAAATCACAAAAAGCAACGTTGTCCTCCTGACTCTGGAGTACTGAGCCAGTTAGTGTTAGGACTCACTAGTACCTGTACTTGTATTTGCTTTCCTTCATAGGGATACAATAAAAAAAATACTGTATTCTTTCCCCCTAAATTTTCAATGATTTTGTCTGTATAGAATTATTATTATTATTATTAAGAAGTTAGGCTTCAAATATTAAAACAAAGAAATGAATTTGATAGTTTACTTAGAACACTATCTTTATATTAGAATAATGTTTTTTTATGGCATGAATAGTAAATTTTGATTGTTATATTTAACATACCAACTCACATCTATCTTTGTTGCTTCTACTCTCCAAATCATCCCATATAAAGGTTGTATATTACACCAGAATACTTTGGAAAACATGTCCAACAGTTATATAAAAAGGTGGCTATTGTCATTAAAAAGCATTTGTTAAATTTCCATTTTTATCTGTTACTATAAAAGTCAGAGTTCACAATACCTTTTGAATTTTTGTATGCCTCTGAGACTGTGATGAAGGCTGTAAATCTTTTCTTAACATGAACACATATACACAGAAACAGTTTTGCTAATAATTTTTTTCAAAATATGAAACACTTATGCATAAAGGCCATGCTAATCTTCTCTGTATTATTCCAATTTTAGTATATGTGCTACCAAAGCAAGCACTAGTTTTGCTAATAATTTTAAAAGGTGCTCATACTACCTGAAATGCATTTATGGATTCTTCCCATGACTCCAGATTAAGAAAACCCACATAATTGGGAGAATACCTGTAATCCCAGAGGCTCAAGAGGCTGAGGCAGGAGGATTGCAAATTCAGCAACTCAGCAAGGCTCTAGGCTACTTAGCAAGATCCTGTCTCCAAATAAAACATAAAAATGCAGTTCAAAGGTTAAGTGTCTCTGAGTTCAATCTGCAATACCAACCAACCAACCAACAAAAAACCCACTATAAAAAGATGTACTACTTTTTCTCATTGTCTAATTTGAAAATACATTATTCTTACTAGATATTTTTGAAACTCACAGCTAAGATTGTTGTCTAGCAAACAGCATTGTTATTAACAAAGAAAAACTATGTACAGATTCATGGCCTGCAGTGGGTGAGAGGGTAGAGGGGCAGGGGGAGGGAGAGGATATTAGTGCAAGAATGCTCAGTGATTAGGTTAATGCAGCTACTCTTTTACTCAGGGTACTACAGACAGAGATTGGTGAACAAGTCCTTGGAACATGCAAATTAGCATCTATAACTGTTTCTACTCCATATGCTGTCTAAACAGGAGTTACGATGTTTGTTGGATGAGATAGTTTAAGTGGAAAACCACATAATACATTTCAAATTCTTTTGGAAAAATAATACATAGATGTCCTAGCATTTTAGCAGAAGACTAAGTCTTTGAGAATTATTCATGGATTCTATAAGTAGTATTTGTCTATAAGGATATTGATGGTAAAGATATATTGATTTAATGCACCTAAATTTTTGTGTTTATATGGAAGTCTATTTAATAGGATTACAGTTCATCTTTCCTATTCCACATTTGTTATTACCATTTTCTATGTTGCTTGGCCTTGAGAGCAAGATGGAGTAAACAGGAATATAGATGAGGGTCTCACAGGAGTAGAGCTGAGTGTTTTTTACCCAAGCATGAGTGGGTAAAAGGTGGTTTACCTTCACTATTCAAAGGGAAAAAGGGGTGATCTGACATTGGTTCCAGTTGGTTTACTTGGGAAAGTGAAAATTTTGTCCCACTAAAGGCAAAACTTATACAGGTGAACTCAGAAGTGAAAAAGAAGAGGAGGAAAGAGTAGAATGCTTTAAATTGAAGTTTGACTTGCCTACTATCAAGTGTGTACACCATTTTGTAACAGATTTTTCTAAAAGTGTGCAAATAATTTCATTGGCAACTGAAAGAAATGAATTAAATCAGCAAGGAATGGTTTATTATCTAACACAGGAAATACTACAAAAAATAGTTTTCACAAGGTTGAGATGAAAATGGTACACATGATCTGCATACGAGATAATGAGAGTTGATACAACAGTTTTGGATAGCAGTTTGGCTGCTTGTGACAACTTATTCACATTCTTGGATTCATTTCTGGAATTTACTTTAAACTAGTAACTTGAAGAACAAAAATTGTTTATTATGGTATTGTTTATAATGTTAAAAAAGAAATACAGTTAATGTACAACGCTAGAAGAATGTTTAATTACAGAATTCTGAAATATCAAATACTTAATGGATGCAAATAGAAAAGTGTCAACAACTGTAACAATGTGGAAAATTTTTTTTTTAGATTTGGAATATGTCTATTTAGATATTTTTCTTAAATAGCATATTTATATTTTATAGAAAAATAGAGAAAATTTTCCAACCAAAAGTGAAGGAGAAAGAAAAGTAATTTTGATAAAAGAGAGGAAATCTCAGCAGTGCATGTACTTCTTCTGTAGCATAGGTACCTGGGGAATATCTGTTCCTAGGGACAAAGCCAGTAAGACTATAGGAAAATGAAAAGCAGTTTGTACTCTTCATTTCCATGTGTCTGAAATTTAGATATCTGTAATCACCATCATTTTGTTTGATAATGAAGACTTTAAATGGTCTTCTAGTTTCATGCTCTTATGAATTTTGTGTATTAAATATTGAATTAATTAGAAATTTAGTTATGGGATAGGAAGCATATTTTCACTCCCAGTGGAGAGCTGTTGTACCCAAACCATTTATTAAGTAGACCATTCTTAACCCACTGATTTGAAATGCCACCTTGATTATGTAATTTCCATGGGCACATGTGTCTGTCTCTGCACTCTACTTTGGGATCTGTCTCTACATACTGTTCACATTACCTGGGTTTTATTCTATATTTTGCTATGTCATAGGGCAAGCTTTGAGCACTTCATTCACAGCCTAAATATTATTCTATCTCAAACTTTTGTTTCTATTCTTATGTATTTACTCTTCCAAATAAACTTTAAAACAAGCTTATTCTGGAGTTTTGATTTTGATTGGTGCATATTACAATTATAAATTAATTTTAGAGATGATTTTTCTTAGTATGTCTCTTCTTGTGTCTAGAAGTTTCAGTGAAGTATTTCAGAGATTGCATTTAGAATGTAATTGATAGAAAGGTGATAACACATTTCGGTTACCTCTGTTCAGATATGGAGTGATTCTGATGTTGATGCTAACAAATTAGGAAAGTTTGTCATTTTCAATTGCCCAAAGCAGAGAATGCAATTGAATCCTGATGGGAAAGTGAAAGAGGTACCCTGGAATCTGTAAGTTGGAATTTGTCTTTATCATGTATGAAACAAGTGGCCTTTTAAGAAGAGCAGCTGATTTTCAGGGGCCACCGTGATTAGAAAGACCCCAGTCTTAGCCAAAATCTGGTACCTGTGGCTGATTATTCACACTGCTCTGATTGCTCAGCATATTCTTTCCATGTTTCTGAGATCCTCCAGGGAGCTTCATGTACAGTCCACCTTCTACAAGCCATATGAATGGCCTTTCCTGAAAGTAGATGTTCTTGTTCTACCATCTTCATGTTTTTCTCTGGCTTCCTCTCCTGACTCCCTTTCTATCTCATGGGCTACCTCTGTTGGTTTCTGTATCATCTCCTTTCCTTCCCCTCCCATAGTATCTTTGTCTTTCTGGTGTCCTTGTGATTATTAAAAAGGGACTCCTTTTATTGCTGATATAAGACTTAGTGCTAGGACTTGTGGGCATCTCTCTTTAATGGGCCTGTCTCACTTCTGGCATGAGTGTTATTTATCTTCTTTCCTGACATAAGCATGATGTGGTTCTTGAAACAGGGCTACCATGAAGTGCAAGACCATACTGTTAGGGGACATACTGCATTAGAAAAGGGTTATAATTAAATGCTTTGCTAAGTGGTAGTCCTTGTTCACCCAACCAAGCAAAATAGTAATATGACCACTGTTTGGAATAGATGTAGATTAGATATTCTTGTGATCTGAGTAAATCTTTGATCTATTTATACAATCTATTTTCTATTAAAAAAAAAAGAACATGAAGAGGTCAGGTCAGATTCTGTCCATGGATTATTAACAATCCCTTTAGTAACCAAGAACATGACTATAGCAATTAGTTCTTCCTTTTTTAGGAAATGGAATTTCATCTCAGTTTCCTGTCGCTCATGTTAGATATTTGTTATTGTTTTTTTTTCCTTTTCAGATCTCCTTCCTGAACTTTTTTTTGAAGCTATTGTATGATAGACTTTTCTTGTTGTGTTACTTTCTTTCACTTGTGTTTGTGCATGCATGCCCTATGCAGACAAAAGACAATTCAAAATTGTGAACTGGTGATGTTTTTTTTTCAGAACTCCACAATTGGTGTTCACCCCAAGTTATAATTTCAGATAACTTTATGTATGTTGGATGGATTCAAACCACTATGAAAACATATCTTTTTTTATTTAAAAAAATTTTAGATTAAATAACAGTGTGGCAACTGAAAGGAGGAGCCCTGCACAAATCTTGCTTTTGTTCCTGATTCACCTGATTCTTAGCTTCCTACAGTGTCATGCTGTTATATAGACTGTCAGTCTGATACCCATCAAAGGCAAACAGATGTCCAGGAGACTGCATAGGTGTTTCTCTGCTCAGTTCTCTTTCCTATCTCAGGGTGAGAATCTCCTGGAGGATGGGTTTGGTTTGCTCTGGTTGAGCACACAGAAGCCCAGATGCTTCTCCACACTGGGCGAGCTCTGGAGGCCCTCCAAGGTGGGTGACCTTTCCAGCCCCCACTTTCCACTTCCTTGCCACTCCCAAGGGCTGGGTGGAATGCTCCCTCTCCCTGGAGGCCCCACTCCACACTGCCTTTTTGTGTTTGGGGTAGGGAGTGTTATGAATCCTTCTAAGTCTCCTGGGATGATCTGGTGGGCTTGTCCATCACTGCATCCCACCGGGGCACAGCTCTGCTGATTTAGCACCATGCCCAAAGCACTGCAGGATTATATACTCAAGACTGCTAGCTGCCACCTCAGTTCCTTTGGACATTTGTCCTCAGATTGTGCCTCCATGGGACAGGGTGCTTTGCAGGCTTTGTGCCAACCAGGAGCTCTTGAGAGAAACTGTAAGGCCAGGTTGGTTGAGAAAGGGGACTTGGAAATCCCTTCGAGAAGATAAATAGCAAATGGAACTGGCATATCAAGTGTGGGAGCCACTTGTCCTGTTTGTTTGGCAACGTTTGTGAACATTGAAGGTTCCTACCACCGACAAGGCAAAGCCAGGGCTAATGATAATTATCATGAACCTTTGTACTAATAGTGGCATTTCAGGTACAGGATGAAAATTAACACAAGCAATGATGTTTGGCAGGTAAGAGTTCAAAGTAAAAGACAATGAAATATCACATTCCCACATCTAGTAAATTAAAAAAAAATTCTTCCCTATGTCCTGAACTTCTTTAACTTTCCTGAACAGACCAGCTCTTACCCCCATTCCAAATATAACAGGAAGCATCTTCCCCAATGTCACAAAATATTGTTGTTGGAAAGGTGGATTCATGATATTTGAGCTTACTCACATGAAGTGAATATAACAAATGACAATGTTTTGGATGTGCGCCCTTTTGTTGTGGTTTCTTAGAGCCAGGACAAGGAAGTGTAATGATGCCCCAACTTATTTATCTTTCAGGGGCA